GCCAGCCTGGGCAATATAACAAGACTCCGCTCTCTACAAATGAACAAAGAAAGACACAATAAACTGAACTAAATAGGTATTCTCAGAGGTTGGGAAAATATAATTAGAAGGCCTGATATTTTCTTCCCAGACCCCAGCAACTCTGTCTGGGGTCAGTGCCCCCACAACCCCGCCAAGGGCCTCTAAAATTGATCCAGGACCCTGTGCCCCATGCTGCCCCTCTCTAGCGCTTGCTCACCCAGCCCTTGACTCTCTAACGCCTTTCAGTCTCTTACAGGGGCCCCAAATCTTCTGCCCTCTCCAGACATAAGCTTCACTGCTATTCTCCAAAGTCCCCTGGCCACCCAGCCTAATCAGGCTCTCTCACCATGTCTGTCAGGCTCCTCTTTTCCCTTCAGTCTGCAACAAAACATTTATCTCTACCATCATGGACAGAATCTTTCCCTACAAATAAGTACTACAGCTCTTGTATAACCAGTGCCCAGAACTTGGAAGCTCAAGAAGTACTGGCAGCTAATGAATGAAGTCTGCAGTTTCTGTCATGAACCACTTTCTCATGAAGTAGAAAAACTGGTTCTGTAGGATAACACAAGTTTCTTAAACACAAGTTGGACCATTCAAAATATGTTCAAGGGAAAATAAGAATTTATAAAAAAATTTTCAAGATTCAAGTGATAGAAATATTACACAACATACATATGAAAGGCAAACACCACACAAATTTCATTCTCATGCCTCAACTTACAGACATCAATAATAATATCATCCAATGGCCACATGCAGTGGCTCACACCTGTAATCCCAGCACTTTGAGAGAACAAGGCAGCAGGATCGCTTGAGCCCAGGAGTTCGAGACCAGCCTGGACAACACGGCAAAACCCTGCCTCTACAAAAAATACAAAAATTAGCTGGGTGCCGTGACACATGTCTGTAGTTCCAGTTACCTGGGAAGCTGAGGACTGCAATGAGCCAAGACCATGCCACTGCACTCCAGTTTGGGTGACAGAGTGAGACCTTATCTCAGAAATAGTAATAATAATAATAATATCATCTCATGAAGGCAGGAGTGGGGGAAATGGGCATTGAAACGCTCTTGGGTAGGAGGGCAAAACTTCCTCATCTTGTTGGAAGTCACCTTGGCAACAGTTTCAAAATTTTAAATATTCATACTCTCTGACCCATTAAATCCCAAATTATTCTAAATAACTGGGCACTTTTAACAAAGGAACAAAAGTTAGACATAAGAAAGTTGCTAATAACAGCAAAAAGCACTGGGAAGAAGCCAATTGTCCATCAATAGGAAGCTGATTAAATAAACAATAAGCCCATTTAGTATAAGGATGCTGGGTGCACATCACGTAGGATCTTTACTGGCAAAGTCAATGATTATTCTTCTAAAATTTCCCTTAAGTCATGATATGCTGCAGGGAGGAGTTTCTTCCTGCTCCCATTCCACCAACTGCTGGTCTATCCCCAAGGGCAAGAGTGAAGTTTGTGAAGGCCTCCTAACATTACTGCCTGTTTTCTAACTGGTCTGCATTTTATCCCTCTTTGCTTCTGTACAAGCAGGCTAGCGCCATCGCCTGCACACCTCAGTACGTGTCAAAACACAGTGAGTACCAGGAAGAGGCAACAAAGGCGCAAACTGCATATCCGTAGGCCTTGGGATTGGAGCAGGCAGGAGACCTGTGCAGAGTGCACAGCGTGGCACTCCAAGCTCATGTGGACTTGGTCCCCTTGTCCACACCAGCCACCCCCCCCAGAACACCCTTCAGGGTCAGAAAGACAGTACTGTGCCACAACAGTTCCAAGGGAGGTCTGAAACAATGGGATAAGCAGGTGCTACATGGTCATTCAAAGCAATGCCCTCTCTATGTGAAGACTTGGATGAAAATCCAGAATATAGTGGTTTTACAGCTTATAAAATAGTATGTAAAAATACAAAATATACAGGTGTATACACAGTGTGAAAAGTTATAACCAAAACCTTAACAACAGTTACTGTTAAATTAATCTGGCATTATTTTAGCATATACGAGATGACAAAACTATTTTTACCCAAACAACTACACATTTACCCTAGCATGTATTAATGATGCTTCCTTTGTAAAAAACAACAAAAAAATTGCATATAACATTTCTATTTCACTGCTTCTTCTATGCATATTTAAAAATCAGAATAGTAATCCCAGCACTGTGGGAGGCCGAGGTGGGTGGATCACGAGGTCAAGAGATCGAGACCATCCTGGTCAACATGGTGAAACCCCGTCTCTACTAAAAATACAAAAAATTAGCTGGGCATGGTGGCGTGTACCTGTAATCCCAGCGACTCAGGAGGCTGGGGCAGGAGAATTGCCTGAACCCAGGAGGCAGAGGTTGCGGTGAGCCGAGATCGCGCCACTGTACTCCAGCCTGGGTAACAAGAGCGAAATTCCGTCTCAAAAATAAAAATAAAAATAAAAATAAAAATCAGAATAACATGTTGTTCTAATCATTGTGGTTAATGACAAAATATCTCATATTATCCTCTGACATATAACTTTTTTGGGAGGGGAGGAGGGGTTAGAGTTTCGCTCTGTCATCCACACTGGAGTACAGTGGTGCGATCTCAGCTAACTGCAACCTCCATCTCCCAGGTTCAAGCGATTCTCGTGCCACAGCCTTCCAAGTAGCTGGGAACTACAGGTGTGCACCACCATGCCTGGCAAGTTTTTGTATTTTTGGTAGAGACAGGGTTTCACCACGTTGTCTAGACTGGTCTCAAACTCCTGGCCTCAAGCAATCCTCTTAGCCTCCCAAAAGTGCTGGGATTATAGGCGTGAGCCACTGTGCCCGGCCAAGAACTTTTTATATTAAGGATGCTAAATCTTTGTCTGAAACTTTATAAATGTACTTTAAAAATATTCTCCTCTCTCATTTGTCTCTATTTTGTTTAGGATTTAAAATTAAGGAACATTTTAAGTTTTTATGTATTTTCACTCTATTCATCTTTTTCTTTATGGTTTCTGGATGTTCTCCTCTGTCCTTGAGACTGGGTGAGTATTCTTCTTTTTCTTTTAGGGCTTTATACTTTATATTCAGTCTCTCTGAAATTTATTTTGGTATACAGTGGGATGTAGGTTTCTAAATTTCTGTATCTCTAAATAGTTACCCAAACAATTCTTTGTCTCCTAGGCTGGAGTGCAGTGATATGATGTTGGCTCACTGCAAACTCCGCCTCCCAGGCTCAAGCGATTCTCCTGCCTCAGCCTCCCGAGCAGATGGGATTACCTGTGTGTGCCACCATGCCCAGCTAATTTTTGTATTTTTAGTAAAGACAGGGTTTCACCATATTGACTCCTGACCTCGTGATCTGCCTGCCTCAGCCTCCCAAAGTCCTGGGATTACAGTTATGAGCCACCAGGTCCAGCCACACGTTACATTTTTATGTTTGAGGCTAAAGATGGTAGATGTAACTGTTTCACATCTTAAAACCCCAATAAAATGACAGTAAAATTTTAGAAGGACATAATTACACGGTGTGGTCAAGAATGAGAGGAGAGACCATGTTAGAAGCCGGAAAACAGAAGGCCAGGAATTAAGGTGACAGGTCCAGAAAAGTCCGAAACCAGTACGGGGGAAGACAAGGCACATGAACCAACAGCACCAGGTACCTGTGGCGGGAGATCAGGTGGAGGTCAGAATCAGAAAGAAAACTGGAAAAACCCTCTGGGGCTTCCATCTCGCCAAACAGAGTGGGGCCACTGCCTGAATCCATCAAGAGACTGAAGATTTATTCTCTGCAGAGGGTAAACCATAGAAGGATTGGACTACGAAAGGTCAGATATACTAAAAGCAGAAGTATGTTAAAGTTTAGAAAGCAGTGTGGAGAACCCCCAACCATCTTCCACAGCTCTCAGAGAGCTGGAAGCTAGAGGCAGGCCATGGTGAGCTTAGCAGCAAAAGATACAGGGCCCACTGCCCTGTAACCCCACACTATGTGGCCGCTGAACCTCTAGTCCTTGGTCCACACTGAAGCTTGCCACAGAATCCCCATGTTCCCAGACTCACTCACACCCATGTACTCTGACTTCCCTAGATGGGAAGCTGAAGCTGAACGACCCCAGGCAGAACTGCATGAAGTCTATTTGAAAAAGGAACAATACCTTTTCAATGTTGTATGTTCTCATCTAATAACACACTATCTTTCCACTTAAATATCATTTTATGTCTCTTAGTAAAGTTTAATGATTTTCTCAACAAATGTTCTATGGTTTTGTTGTTGTTTTTTGAGAGTCTTCACTCCCTCACCCAGGCTGGAGTGCAGTGGTGCAATCTCAGCTCACTGGGATTACAGGAATGCGCCACCTCACCCGGCTGACATTCTACATGTTTCCTTTTTTTTCCTTTTACCTGCCTCCCTCCAACTCCATTCTACATATAATTCTAATGTAATTCTTAAATTTGTATTTTTTTGTTGCTGCTGCTACTATAAAGTAAGAGTTTATCCTGTTTCATCTTTCTAGCCAGCTGGTTATTGGTATACAGTATAAGAAAGCTATCAATTGGTCTATTTATTTTGCATTTGAAAATCTTACGCCTAGGCGCAGTGGCTCATACCTGTAATCCCAGCACCTTGGGTAGCCGAGGCGTGTGGATCACCCAAGGTCAGGAGTTTGAAATCAGCCTGACCAACATGGTAAAAACCCATCTCTACTAAAAATACAAAAATAAAAAAAAACAATTAGCCAGGAGTGGTGGCACATGCCTGTAATCCCAGCTACTCCAGACGCTAAGGAAGGAGAATGGCTTGAATCTGGGAGGTAGAGGATTGGTGAGCCAAGATTGCCCCATTGCACTGCAGCCTGGGGAACAGAGTGAGACTTCATCTCAAAAAAAAGAAAGAAAGAAAAGAAAAAATCTTACCGAACTCCATGAGTTCTGAGAATTTTTAGTTGATTTTTATTGGAGCTTTCCAAGCAGAAAGTCACTGAAAGCAATGGCAATTTTGACTCCTCCTAGTGCTCGCTTTGGCAACACATATACTAATATTGGAACGATACAGGGAAGATTAGCAGGGCTCCTGCACAAGAATGGCATGCAAATTCGTGAAGCGTTCCATATTTTTAAAAAATAATTTTTTTGCCGGGCGCGGTGGCTCAAGCCTGTAATCCCAGCACTTTGGGAGGCCGAGGCGGGTGGATCACGAGGTCAAGAGATCGAGACCATCCTGGTCAACATGGTGAAACCCCGTCTCTACCAAAAAATACAAAAAATTAGCTGGGCATGGTGGTGCATGCCTGTAATCCCAGCTACTCAGGAGGTTGAGGCAGGAGAATTGCCTGAACCCAGGAGGCGGAGGTTGCGGTGAGCCGAGATAGCGCCATTGCACTCCAGCCTGGGTAACAAGAGCGAAACTCCGTCTCCAAAAAAAAAAAAAAAAAAAAAAAAATTTTGACTCCTTTTTGTATGATTATCTTAACTATTTCTCATCTCATAATGTCTAGAACATTCAGAGTATTTTATAGTAGATGTGAGAACATATATAAAGTCCTGTTTCTTTATTTGAATTTCCATTCATTTAACAAATATTTATCAAATATTCACTAGGTGCCAGGCAGTAAATAAAATGATTGACATTTTACTTTTCATTATAATAATGGTTGATGAGATAGAAGTCTTTAATCAAGATTTAATTTTAAGGCCAGGTGTGGTGGCTCATGCCTGCAATCTCAGCACCTTGGGAGGCTGAAGCAGGTAGATTATCTGATGTCAAGTGTTCGAGACCAGCCTGACCAAGATAGTAAAACCCTGTCTCCACTAAAATACAAAATTAGCTGGGCGTGGTGGCACATGCCTGTAATTCCAGATACTTGGGAGGCTGAGGTAGCAGAATCACTTGAACCCAGGAGGCGGACAGTCAAGATCACACCACTGCACTCTAGCCTGGGTAACAAGGGCAAAACTCCATCTAAAAAAAAAAATTAATTTTAAATGCAATAGGTGGCCAATTTGTCAATGAATCATAATATGAAGACACACACACAAAAGGCCTTTAAATAAATGAACATAAGTCTCTGCATTATCATCTGGTTGAGAATCTCTAAGCCCTAGGGCTCCCTGTGCTAAGAATGCAGCAGGAAAACCTCCTCCTCCCTACTGTATCCCACAGGCCTGGTCATCAGGACAGATCACATGCCCCAGGACCTGCCTTCCTGCCTTCTAGCCTTCTGGGTCAAGGACACACTGAGGCTCTACTAAACTAGCTCTCAAAATCATTCCCCTTCCCTTTTTATTTAAACAAAACAAAAACTCATGATAAGGTAATATTCTAGAAATTTATCTTCAGATGACAAAGGTGCCTTAGTCCATTTTCGTGTTGCTATATTAGAAATACCTGAGGCTGGGCCGGGCGCGGTGGCTCACGCCTGTAATCCTAGCACTTTGGGCGGCCGAGGTGGGTGGATCACCTGAGGTCCGGAGTTCAAGACCAGCCTGGCCATCATGGTGAAACCCCATCTTTAAAAAAAAAAAAAGAAAAGAAATACCTGAGGCTGGGCCGGGCGCGGTGGCTCACGCCTGTAATCCTAGCACTTTGGGCGGCCGAGGTGGGTGGATCACCTGAGGTCAGGAGTTCGAGACCAGCCTGGCCAACATGGTGAAACCCCGTCTCTACTAAAAATACAAAAAATTAGCTGGGCATGGNAAAAAAAAAAAAAGAAAAGAAATACCTGAGGCTGGATAATTTATAAAGTAAAAGGGTTTATTTTGTCTCACAGTTCTGCAGGCTGGGACAAGAAGCATGGTGCCAACATCCATATCTGGTGATGGCCTCAGGCTGCTTCCACTCAGGGTGGAAGGCAGGGGAGCAGATAGGCAGAGATCAGAAGGGGTGGGAGGGAAGGTGCCAGGCTCTTTTTACAGGAACTCAAGAGTCAGAACCCATCCATTCCCTTAAGAGGAGCACTAAACATTCATAAGGAATCTGTCCCCCCCCACCCAGACCCAGACACCTCCAACCTCCGGCCAGGCCACACCTCCAACATGAGGATCAAATTTCAACATGAGACTTGGCAGGCCCAACAAACCATATCTGAACCATAGCTAAAGGGTTACAGAGCTATTTTGTGGTATTTCCTGTTCCCAAAACATATGGCACTAAATTGACACAGAGAAATGCAAATTAAACCATGAGATTCCATTTTCACCTACATTATTGGTGAAGAAGAATATAAGAATACTGACAACATAAAAACGGTAACTGGGCAAACACTCTCACACTGCCAATGGAAGCTGCTCTCTGACTCTCTGAAGAACTGAACACAGATTAGGGGCCCAGGACCTGAGGTGGAGATGGCTAGGAGACCATCAAAGCCTCATACTGTGTCTTCTCTACTGAGTGTAGAGATGGGGATGGGAATGGCTGCCCAACTGGGGGCTACATTTCCAAGCCTGCCGTGGAGGCAGGAGGAGCCAACTGAGTAGTTCTCACAAATGCAACGTAAGGCCTCATGTGGCTGGCTGCTGGTAGTGACTTGGTATAGCAGCAAGTGTTATCCTAATTAATGCAAGATTATACTCTACGTGCTCATTTTTGTTTCTAGCTAAAATAGCTTTAAATAAAAAAAAGAACATATGTTTACACAGTTCAAAAAATAAAACGTAAAGTCTCACTGCCAACTTGTCACCATGTACCCTGTCCCCATCATGCCCACAGATAAGCATTTTTATTTGCTGTTTATCCTTCCAGTGTTTCCTTTCACGAACACATGTACATGTTCTCATTCCTTTTTCTCATAAAAAGGTAGTGAACTGTTTAACACCTTGATTTTTTTTTTTTTTTCTATCAACAAGACATCTCACTTTGGAGGCCAAGGCGGGCAGATCACCTGAGGCTGGGAGTTCAAGACCAGCCTGACCAACATGGTGAAACCCTGTCTTTAAAAATAAAAATAAATAATAAAGAAAGAAAGAAAGAAAGAAAGAAAAAATAGAAACAAGACCCATAAAATTTCTCCACATCAATGCTTGCCTTTTTTGCAGCTCCCAATCGGATCAGCATAACATAGGTTATTAAGCCAGTCTCCCACTGCTGGACAATCAGGAAGTTTTCAGCAATGAGTGCCAAAATGAATTACTCTGTACATGCCTAATTTTGTATGTACAGGTAAGACAGTCTTAGAATGGAAACCACCAGCTCAAAGAGTAAATGGATCTAGATTACTAAAAGATTATCCTCCCAAACCCTTGCTTCCCTCAGGCCTCAATAATGAAGTGAGGTCAAAGGTGCATATTCTCTAATCTGATAGTTGAGAAATGGCATCTTGGTGTAGTTTTGACTTTCATTAATTAATAAATATAATTAATTAATCTTGCCATGCGCAAGGGCTGAGGATGAGAGGATCGCTTGAGGCCAGGAGTTCAAGATCAGCTTGGACAACATAAGTTTCTACAAAAATTTAAAAATAAGCTGAGCATGGTGGTGTGTGCTTGTATTCCCAGCTACTCAGAAGGCTGAGGTAGGAGGACTGCTTGAGCCCAGGAGGTCAAGGTTGCAGTAAGCTGAGATCACACCACTGTACTCCAGTCTGGGTGACACAGTAAGATCCTTCCTTAAAAATTAAATAAATACTGTGGTTTGTTTTTGAGATGGAGTCTTGCTGTCAGCAGGCCAGACTGCAGTGGTGAGATCTTGGCTCGCTGCAACCTCTGCCTCCTGGGTTCAAGCAATTCTCCTGCCTCAGTCTCCCAAGTAACTGGGACTGCAGGCGTTATGCCACCACGCCCAGCTAATTGTCTGTGTATTTAGTAAAGACGAGGTTTCACCATGTTGGCCAGGAGGGTCTCGATCTCTTGACCTCATGGTCTGCCTGCCTCAGCCTCTCAAAGTGCTAGGATTACAGGTGTGAGCCATCACGCCTGGCCAAAATTAAATAAATATTGTTAAGCATTCTTTCATATATTGAAGGATTCTATTTCTTTTTCAATGAATTATATCTTTTGCATATTTTTCATTGGACTTTCAACTTTTTTCAATTCCTAGAAATTCTTTATTACCTCTTTACCTGTGAGTTTCAAATATTTTTGTCATTATTTATGTAATGCAGATTTTTTTCATATTATCAAATCAAATTTAAGTCATCTTAATAGAATTTGGACTCTGAGATATAGTTAGAGAGCCCTGTCTGGGCATGGTGGCTCACACCTATAATCCCAGCACTTCAGAAGGCTGAGATAGGTGGATCACAAGGTCAAGAGATTGAGGCCATCCTGGACAACAGGGTGAAACCACATCTCTACTAAAAATACAAAAATTAGTTGGGCATGGCGGCATGCACCTGTAGTCCCAGCTACTCAGGAGGCTGAGGCAGGAGAATTGCTTGAACCTGGGAGGCGGAGGTTGCGGTGAGCCGAGATTGCGCCATTGCACTCCAGCCTGGGTAACAAGAGCGACATGCTGTCCCAAAAAAAAAAAGAAAAAGGGCTGGGCACAGTGGCTCACGCCTATAATCCCAACTCTTTGGGAGGTCAAGGCAGGCAGATCACAAGGTCAGGAGTTGAAGACCGGCCTGGCCCATATAAAACTCCATCTCTACTAAAAACACAAAAATTACCTGGGTGTGGAGGCAAGTCCCTGCAATCCCAGCTACTGGGGAGGCTGAGGCAAGAGAATTGCTTGTACCCAGGAGGCAGAGGTTGCAGTGAGCTGAGACCACGCCACTACACTCCAGCCTGGGCAAAACAAGAGCGAAACTCTCTCTTAAAAAATAATGATAAAAAAAAAAGCTCTCCTCCATTTCAAGACTTCAGAATTTCACTCCTATTTTCTTCTAGTACTTCTTGGTTTCTTGTTTACATTTACCTCTGATCTGTTTGTACAAGGATGCTGGTTTACCAGGTAAGATATGGATCCAGATTTATTTTATTTCAAATGCTACCCAAAAATCTTAATTAACAATCAAAATCAACTCTGACTACATTCAACTATTACTCCAACTTCACCTCAAATTAAATTCCCAAGTGTATTTGGTCTGTTTCAAGAATCTCTGTCCTGTCACACTGGCCTGTTATTCCCAAGCTGAGCATTGCAGCATGGACCAGACTCCACACAACTCTCTTCTTCAGAGG